CCCCCCCCCCCCCCCCCCCCCCCGTTATATATTCAGCTAGAGAATTTTTTTTTCTCTCATCAATATGAAAAGATCCTCCTTTGAAAGTTAAGGAAGTTCATGGATGTCAATGAAATACACTACGGGGAATATGGAGCTGCTACAGGCATATCCTACTGTGGAACAGATATTTACTACCACAGGGAAAATCACATTCTAATAACTTTGTGTTACTTTACTGGTAATCAATTTAAATAGTAAATATTGTCAATTCTTTGGTTACTTTTTACTTACTTGTTGTTTTGACTCCAATCACAGCCAAACACTGCAGCTGGATGTTTATATTTGTGAAGAACATTGCCATCAATGGTTCGAATAATACTGAAACCAATCATAAAGCAATATAATAAGGAAAAAAACATTCTGAGGAGGCTATCCAAAATTAAGTTTTATTCTATGCTAATAAGCCAGATAGCAAAAAGAAAGAATATGAGAAATAACCTTTACAATATCAGTCTCTCAACTACAAGTTAACTATGCATTTCCCAAGAAAACATCTAACTAGACTTCAGTGTCTGTGTTCCTTCCGAAGGCCTATAAAGATACCCACTGTAGTACCTCCTTGAAAAGATCCTCATAGCCCAAAATCAAGGTTGTAGTTATGGCTTTAAGGTACGAATTTAAAAAAAAAAAAAGAAAGAAAGAAAGAAAGAAAAAGTTAATTGTTTTCTAAAGTTTGTGCCTATTATGTTTCAGTTGGAATGACACAGGTAGCAGAGGAAACAAAAAAAGGATTTTTAAAATGTACTAAAACACTTAGTGCCTTAAAACTATTCCTTTTTCAAAAGTTTCCTTTATTTTTTCTTAAAATCATGAAAACATACCCTAAGAACTACAGAAGACTAATATAATTCAAGTTTTGTCCAGTAAGAAAAGTTTTAACATCAATCACTGATAGTACTGTCAAAATGTATGGGCTTGAGAAGTGCATTTAGCAATTTTTTTTTTTCTTCCAGTAACACTCACCAAAATCCATCACTGCTGCAGGTTGCTATTCTTTTGGAATCTTTATGACTCCAGGCAATGCAGAAGATTCCATTCTTTCCATGCTTCAAAAAATGCAAAATACCTATCAATAAGAAATAATTCACCCCTTTTTCTCTCATCTATTGACTCATTTTATTTTATTCTACTATGGGCTTCAGCCCTTTCCTCCCAGTAAAGTATACTGTACAAAACCACACTATAGTGAGTATCCAATATATCTGGGATATTTCAGAAGTCCAAAAAAATTGGAACCACAGACATGGACAGTAAAACTGCTGTATTCCCCAGGATCTGAGAGGCAAAACTAGGTCAAGCTGAAGAATAAGCAATTCATAATTCTATAAACCTGAAGCTTAAATAAAGAACGCTATGGGCAATCAAGAGGGACCTCTGGGCCTGTGGACAACTGGACAAGGGATCTGAAGCACAAGTTGTTCTCTCTTCTGTCCTGCTAGTTGCAGGGAATGACGGGAAAAGGAACACAAAAATCATGCCAGATGAACATCTGGCTTTGAGACTTGTGTTACCAGCAAAATTTTTGGGTTTTTGATCGTGGGTCAGCTTATACAACACCAAGTCTGTTGGCAACAAATGGGGTCCACCTGTCTCAAAGGGCAAAAAAGATCTTAACTCAGGAGTTAACAGGGCTCTTTGAGAGAGCTTTAAACTAGATTGGAAAGAGGACAGGGACAGGCTTGCCAAAGAGAACATGTAGGGAAGGGGAGCACAGTAGCAACCATCCTAGTATAAGGAGGCCCAAGAGGAAACACCTGGAGCAAGCACAAGTAGCCAAAGACATAATCACTTGACAGGACCATGGGATGTCCCTTTGCATCCCCACAGAGATGCTGACACAATCAAATACTTCTATAAAGTGCCTGTACACCGCTGCACAAAGCAACTTCCTGTCACAAGTAGTGGAAGATCCCACAAAGAATGGTGTGCTAATACCAAAAAACAAGGAAGGCCTTGAAAGGGATGTAAAGTCTGGGGGCAGCCTTGACTATAGCGACCATGAGCTTGCAGAGTTCACTATCAGGCAAGGAAGAAGCAGAGCAGCAAGTAAGATACAGCCATAGACTTCAGGAGAGCTAACTATAGCCTCTTCAGGGATTTTCTTTGAAAAATCACATGGGAACAGGCCTTGCAGGAAAGAGGGGTCCAAGATATCTGATTGATATTCAATGATATATACTCAAGGATCACTTTCTCTAGGTTCAAAAATGATGCATTCCAATGAGCAAGAAATTGGGTAAAGGGGGCAGGAGACCTGCATGGATGAACAAACAATTCCTGTCATTACTCAAGCGTAAGCAGGAAACACATGGGAGATGGAAGCAGGGTCAGGCTACTTAGAATGAATATAGAGGTTTTCAGAGTAAGGAGAAGTGAGATAAGGAAGGCCAAGGCCCATCTGGAACTAAATTTGACCAAGGATGTCAAAGAAAACAACAAGGTCTTCTTCAAATAACAATCAATAACAAAAGGAAATCAAAGGATAATGTAGGCCCATTACTAAATGGAGGTGGGAATCTGGTAACAGAGGACACAGAGAAGGCAGAGATATTGAATACCTTGTTTGCATCGGCCTTCCCTGACAAGACCAGCCCTTGGGAATCTCTGACCCAAGGGATCAGCATAAAAGAATGTTACAAGGAAGACTTCCCCTTGGTCTAGGAGAACTGGGTTAGAAAACACCTAGACTACCTTGACATACACAAGTCCACGTGCTCTGACAGGATGCATTTGCCAGGCCTAAGAGAGAGCTGGTGGACACCACAGGGAGGTCGCTCATGATCATTTTTGAAAAGTAGTAGCAATCAGGAGAGGCGCTAGCAGAGGACTGGAAGAAAGGAAATGTCACTCCGGTCTTCAAAAAGGAAAAGGAGGAGGATCCAGGGAACTATCAGCCAATAAGCCTCACCTCAATCCCTAGAAAGGCGATGGAGCATCTCATTCTGTAACCCACCTCTATCCACAGGGGTGACAAGAAAGTGATCAGGAGAAGTCAGCATAGATTCACTACAGGTAAATCATGCTTGAACAACCTGATTGCCTTCTACAATGAAGCAACTACCTGGATGGATGAGGAGAGAGCAGTGCATGTTGTCTACCTCGACTTCAGCAAGGTTTTTGACACTGTCTCACAACATCCTCAGAGGCAAACTCAGTAAGTGTGAACTGGATGAGTGGACAGTGAGGTGGGTTGAGAACTGGCTAAATGGCAGATCTCAGAGGGTTGTAATCAGTGGCACAGGGTCTACTTGTAGGCCTGACATTAGTGGTGTCCCCCAAGTTTCAATATTGGGTCCAGTATTGTTTAACTTATTCATCAATGATTTGGACGAAGGGGCAGATGCCTCCTCAGCAAGTTCACTGATGCTGCAAAGCTGGGAGGAGTGGCTGATACCCCAAAGTGTGGTATAGCCCTTCAGAGGGACCTCGAGCGGCTGGAGAGATGGGCAGAGAAGAACCTATTAAAGTTCAACAAGGGCAAAGCAGAGTCCTGCACCTGGGGAGAAATAACTCCACGTACCAGCACAGGCTGGGGGCTGACCTGCTGGAAAGCAACTCTGCAGAGAAAGGTGTGGGGGTCCTTTGGTCCATGGATAACAAGTTGTCCATGAGCCAGAAATGTGCCCTTGTGGTCAAGAAGGCCAGTAGTATCCTGGGATGCATTAGGAAGAGCATTGCCAGCAGGCTGAAGGAGGTGATCCTGTCCTTCTAGTTAGCCCTAGTGAGGCCACATCTGAAGTGCTGTGTCCAGTTCTGAACTTCTAAGTACAAGAAAGTCATGGAGCACCTGGAACAGGTCCAGGGGAGGGCGACAGAGATGATTAAGGGACCAGAGCATCTCTCTTACGAGGAAAGGTTGAGAGATCTGGGCCTGTTCAGCCTTGAGAAGACATGACTGAGAGGGGACCACATCAATATGTACAAATACCGGAACTCAGGGTGTCAAGAGGTTGAAGACAGGCTCTTCTAAGTGCTGATAAGCAATAGGTGAAAAGGCAACAGGCAGAAACTGATGCATAGGAAGTTCCACCTGAATACGAGGAAGAATCCTGTGTGAGTGACCAAGCACTGGAACAGATTGCCCAGAGAGGTTGTGGAGTCTCCCTCAGTGGACATATTCAATAAGCATCTGGACACAATTTGTGCAACGTGCTCCAGGATGATCCTACTTGAGCAGAGAGGTTGGACCAGATGACACACTGTGGCCATTTTCCAATCTTACTCATTCTATGATTTTGAATAAGGTTACTTATTGGAATAATGAAGTGAGTGAGCCTGAAAAATTGTGGTGTGCGAAAACTTAAATAAGACATGTATCAGGATCAGTGCTACAAAAAAGATGCTTAGTAGCACAAATGCAAATGTCAGTGTTAGAATCCCAGAACTCCTGAATGTATTTGTTCTCTGCTCATGCCTCTCCCTACACCTCTAATTCTCTTTCTAAAGAGCATCCCTTGTACATTGATGCAGATAACACAATTAATTATGTCTGTATAATCTGAAGATTATAGCTATATACTAAGAATACACAAAATAGTGTAGAATACTATAACATAGTATTACAACAGCTCCTTTCTGCCAATAAAAATTATGCTACTATTTCAGGATTTAAAAATGCCTGTATAGATTTCAAGTAATACAAGGCAAGATTCTAAATGAAGCATACTGTTTAGTGTGCTGCAAAATGGAGCTTTATTGATCTAGACTTCAGGGACTGAAAGCCTTATGTTTGAAAATACAGAACACAATTTTCATTTTGATGCCGAGTCTGTATGCCCATATACATTTACACACTTAAGAAGGAATCAGCATTGCGTTGGCTGTGAATCCCTACAGGACCAATTTTAAGATAATGCAGACCATCTGGTGCTTCATCATTCTCATGTCACAAATCCAGTCTGAGGAAACAAAAATACTTCTGCCACACAGGTAAACTGGCCCCCATATAATTCTACAGATTTTTATATTCTAGCACCTTTTAAAAACATATGAACTGTGACCTATCTATTTATTGACACTAGAGGAAATGACTAATTTAGATTTCATATAGACAAAAAGAATAATCTCATCTTACCTCATGGAATCTGGTTATCATTTTGCCTTTTCGAACATCCCAGATGAAGGCACCATTTCTGGATGTTGCCCCTGCTATGCAGTTCAGATCTCCTTTAAAGAGAGATATTTGTAAGGTGTCATGATAATTATAGGATGGCAATATTGTTTGTGTTTATACATTAAATTGAAAAATGTAATATAAACAGGAGATATCAATGGCACATAAACATGAGTTCTCCATAGTTTAAGGTCAGCATTTGCTACTAAGTCACAAACATTAATTTCAGAAAAAGTCTGACCTGTTTTTCTACATTCCTGTTTCGAGGAAAGGCAAAAGAAAAGTTTTATTGCTGTAAAAAGTATTCTTAATGCCTGCTGAAATTCTTGCCCTTAAGGACATAGAGACCATGACTCCTATTGCATATGACTCAAACTAGAAAAGAGATACAATCTAAATGTTTCAACCTTAAAGTTGTAGCAACTAGAACATTCTCCTTTAAAGGAAGATGTACTTCCCTGTGTACTATGACAATTCATAAAAATGTGACAGTACATCTAACAGTAGTTTGTTTTCTTGATCTCGCACCACTGCAGCACCCAAGCCCATAGGAACGTACCTGAATCTGTAACCACACTCTACAGGGTGGAAAATCTTAATATGTAACTCCACAGCGAGAACCTGAAAACTGAATTCAGGCCTAATCTAAAAGCCACCAAATTCTCCTCACCACAATGACTATCCCTGTAAAACTATGCTTGTCATAAATGCCACATTTATAGGAAAGTTTTGACTGTTACTTTATTCCAAGTTTTAGAGGCAGAAAAGACAGGAGGCAGAAAAGACAGAAAATGCAGGAGTATAGCATGGTAAACATATAAAATAGGAAGAAATTCAGGTAGGAGAATAAAAAAAGGAGGGAAAAAGGAAAAAAGAGTGATCACTTTTTCCAAAGACCTTCTGAGACCAAATACAAATGGTGATATGTACTGGATTATATATTAGGGATAAAGTGTAAGGCAGAAAGGAAATGTCTAGGAGTAAGGGATGTGAAAGAAGCGGCAAAAGTTCCGGTCAAGAGGGAAACAATCTTTTTGGACAGGACAGTAAGGAATGCTAATTAGAAGTACATGCTCCTAATTAGCTTAAATGTACTCTTTGTGGGGTTTTTTAATTTTTTGAGGGATTGAGTTTTCTGGCATGTTTTTTTGTCTATTTGTTTTGTTTTTTTAAGAAAATCAGCCCCCTACAGTGAACAAACTTTTCCCTCATTTTGAGATGCTACTAGAAACTGAATTTAAACTTCAAAACAAAAAAACCAAAAATAAACAACACACTTAATACTGCCATAATTTCCATATAGCATGATAAATTATCTGTAAGACACTCCCTGAAATTAAAGAAGTGCAAAGTCATTTCACATATGCAGACTACATTAATCTTCCTAACACAATATTTTGTTTCCTGTCATGTATTATTTCTTAGAGTTTAAAAGCACAGGAGAGAACAGCATTTAGATGAATTACTTAGATTTTTTTAAAAATACGTCTCCTGTCCAAAGAAATAAAACACAAGAAAGTCAGTCTATCATCAACTATTGACATTAGTAACTATAAGCAGTATTTTTCCAGGTACACTGAAGAGCCTTGCAGAACTGGTTTGGAAAGAAAATTTCCCACTGACTTCAGTATTTCTCTAAGGAAAAGTAGACGCTTTGCAAAAAAGGCACTTCTTATTCTAATAAGGAAAAAGCAGAGCTCTTCAGTGATTAGAATCCTACACAAAGAAGGAAGAGAAAGAACTAAACATGTATGTTCCACTTTTTAGCACAAAATATAATATGAACTTTAAGTAGCTGCTTCCCATGCATACAAAGTCTTTTCGTTGTTTGTGTTGATGCAGTGTTAGAAAGGTTCTAGAGATTTTCCTTCCTCCATTCTGATTGAGAAATACTGGCATCACTACTCATAAGCTGAAGCCTTAGCAAGGTCTGAAGCACTGAATTCTACTGCTTTCACATATTATTTAGTTTTGTTTAAACCTTATAAGATGACCTGCTATCTAAAACTAATACTTCTATATGACAAATTCTACAGTCAATGCTAATTCAAAGAAAATTTAGACATAAAGCAAAATATTCTTACCTGGAGCCCAAGAAATGGAATAAATAACCCCCTCATTACCAGGAGATGTATAAACCGCTGATAAAGTATTAATGTCCCAAACTTTTATTGTGCCATCAAATGAAGCTGTAGCAAGAAGATCAGGGTTATCAGGTTTGAATTTGCAATCAAAGATGGTCTCAACATGTCCCTTAAATGAAACAAATATTTAATCCATTTTTATTACATTTGACTTTTTAATAAGACCAACTCTAGATCAAACTCTAAAATACATTGTATTTAATGGACCTGCCAGGTCAATTAAGATTCAAAAAAACCTGTATATTATGGCTCATTAGTCAAAATTAAAAGGCATAAAATAGATTAGACTGTAACAGTACTCTCCTTCAGAGATCATTATTAAAGACGTAAAAATTATTTCCTGAAACAACAGGGCACACAATGTCACAAACTTGTCAGCAATTTCTGTTGGAACTGAGTTGCTAAAAAATAGAGTAAAAAAAAAAAAGGTAAAAAAAAGAAAAAAGTTTATTTTTTAAAATAGAATTAATGTTGCACTTTTGTCATAAACTATGTAACTGAAAAATAAAGCTCTGTATGTTCTACAAGTTGTCTAGTATCCCCCTGAGTTTTCTGTGTTTCTGGATACAGTCTGTGGTCTACAGTAGTTTAAATTTCAATCCATTAGAAACACCAAATGTCAGCTGCTTGTTTTCTAAGACATGCACTTGTAGAATTTAAGTGGCAAATATATGAATGAAATATGGTTAATATGTAAGATTTTTTTTTTTAATTCTCAGTTGCTTTACAGGACCAAATCCAATAAAAATGCAAAAAGAACATCAACCAACAGCCTCTATTCAAACACGTACAAGAGTACAGCTGAAAATCATTTAGGTTTTTTTTTTTCCTGATGAAAAGGGAACTTGGAAAGAGGAAAAGAGACAAATCCTTAAGAATAAGCAGGTGCCCTGTGAAGAAGAGGCTCATCTAATGTCATAAACACAGTTCTGAATTTCAGCTTCAACAAAAACTTGATAATTCAGTCTTTGAAATTTTAAACTGAGTGAACTCATCATATATCCCTCTGATTTGTCTAGAATTCTTTTTCTGAATTATAGAAAAACCCTCCAGCCCTTCTGAGAAGGCCATCAAATTATAATTTTAGTTAAAAAAAACCCAACCAACCAAAAAAACCCCCACGAGTCCTTAAACCTTTATTTCCGGATGAAAACAAAGTGTCAGAATACTCCCAACAGGATTCAGTCCTTTGCAATAAAGAATTGCTTTCAACTTCAGAACTGTCATTTGTTTCCTGGAAATTTAGAGTCTTTTTGATAGAAACCGCTACAAAGAATTCATTCCCCATTTTTTTCCTGTTAGAAGAAAGTGTGTAAGCCAAATAAACTCTCATTTCAAAGAGAGATGAACCATACCAAATCTCTAAGGAAATCCCACTTTTTGGCTCCCATGTCGTAAAGCCCCACTCCACCATCCATAAAACAACAGACAGTGTGACCAGGAGGAAGAGAAAACGCTTGGTTTTGGGTTAAAGTTGGAGGAGGAACAGCCTCACTTGTTGAAGATGTATGATGATTTTTAGTAGGATACTGTGATGAACGTGCTTAACAAAATAAAGCAAAAGACAGAAACAGAGATTATTTCTTATTTCAATAATAAGCAACAATTATAAAGAGTAAAACTCTTTGTATTCCAGTGAGATTTAAAAATAAAGAAATGGAGAATTCCTGTATGAAGCCTGGCCTACTAAAGAAGAATCTTAATAAGTGCTTGATCCTTTATGCATTTGTCTAGTCCACTAGCAGCAGAGGGTACTTGGTTTAATCATGGAATCATAGAATTAACTGGGTTGGAAGAGACCTCCAAGACCATCAAGTCCAACCCTTGATCCAACCCCACATCCAATCTCATCTTAAAAACCTCCAGGGACAGTGAATCCACCGCCCGTCTGGACAGACCATTTCAATGCCTGATCACTCTCTCTGTAAAGAACTTTTCTAATATCCAACCTAAACCTCCCCTGGCAGAGCTTAAGCCCATGCCCTCTTGTCCTACTGCTGATTGCCTGGGAGAAGAGACCGACCCCCACCTGGCTACAACCTCCTTCCAGGGAGTTGTAGAGAGTGATGAGTGATGAATTAAGAACTACAGAGCTGATCGAACTTAAGAGATTGACTTGGACATAACAAGACTCATAAACAAGATTTTCTTAACTGGCAGTCGTTACAATGAATAACAACCAAAATTACACTTACACTTTTTCTTTGGAGGAGAACTTAGCACATGCAAACCATGGAAACCTGTTTGCTTCAATTTAAAATTATCTATAGGTGTTGTACGTGAAACATTCCAAACACGTAACACACCAACCTGAGAATCTGAAGTTGGAAAGAAAAAAACAACAAACAAACCAAAACAGAACACAGAGATATGTGGTTTAAGGACTGATTCATGCAAAAATACAACAATGAATTAAACTTCAAATCCTAAGAAGAATCTCATAAGCAGGAACTGTGATCTCCATAGAATCAAAGAATAATTAGGGTTGGAAGGGACCTGTGGAGATCATCTAGAAAACCTCCATGGTAAAATTCTATTTATCCTTCATTTACCTCTGTGGCAATATCACTGTCAACAACAATAATTATTAATATTAGCTATTTAAAAATAGATAAATTCTATGGAATATTTTCTCATAAAATATTCTCATTGTTTGAGTTTCCTTAGTCATTAGTTCAACTTGAGCAGTAACATCTATGGTGTAGAAAAAAGGAAAGAAATAGATTATTTTCTTTTTTCTTGATTTTTACATCTTCAAAGTGACCTCCATTAGTACAACATTTTTATTCCTATTCCTAAAGTAACTCATATATTTGTTGCTAAAGCATGCATGAGAAAAGTATTATTTAGCATTAAAAAAAGCAGATTGTTACTTGTTTATGTATCCAACAAATTTAAAATGACTAAAGACTTCTCAGGGTAGTTTTCTATTATTTTCTAGTTTTATATTGGGGTCTTGTACGCTTTCATTTGTAGAAATGTTAAGAAACAGAAAGATCACATTTGGAGTAACAATTTTGAAGATTCAGTCCTGTACTTATTACTTTTGTATAACTCAGGAAATAAAAGTCTTACCTCCAGTTATAAACATTCCAGGTGCACTGGAAACCCAGGCTAAACACTGAACAGATGCTGCAGCACTGGGAAAACTAAAAGTTGTGATACAGGACAGAGATTCAGAATCAACCAGTCGAATACCATTATGTAAATTAGCAACAAGAAGGTAGTCAGTTGACAAAGGGTCCCACTCCAGTGCTGTAACTGGATCCTCTTCATCTGTTCCTTCAAGAGATTCTGGTCTTAAGACATGTTTCTGATTTTTAGAACCTTTAAATGCACAAGAAAACAGATAAATTAAAAATGCAATTACGTATATCCTTCAATAGTTACAAGGTTCACAAACATAATTCTTTCTCTCTCCTTGAAATTTTCATTATCTTGCTCCACTGTCTGCACTAATGAAATTAATGAATCTGGCTTTGTGGTCTTTGACTTAAAATAGTTCTGGTTCCATTAGATCCAACTTTATTTTTAATACAGTAGAAAACAGAAACAGCCGTCAGGCTTATTAACATAATTCTATAAGAAAGTATGTTGAATCACATACATTGTTCTAACAATTTCCATGAGTAAAGGCCTACAGCACAGCCTAAAATAAAATCATTTGAGTTTAAGTAAATCTGAACACCACAGCAAATACAGGGAAAATAAACTAGAACTAGAACAAAACTGTGTCAGTCAAAAAAGCTTTTATGAGCAACTGCCTTTAGACTAGTTTCTTCCTCAAAACTGTATGTGCAAGTATGAAGCATTTACAGATTCTGTAGCCAAAACAGGCCATTAAGTATCTCATTTGACACCTGCAAAAAAGAAGACATATTTCACTTGATGATCCATATTATCAAGAACCACAGTTTTTTAACATATTTATTTCCCACTTTTTATTTTTACAAAGAGATGGATCTTAGTCCTATGTCCAGTCCAAATGAAATAGAGCCGTATTTTTGAAGTTGTGATCTTGTACTAAAAAAAAGAAAACAACAAACTAATTTTGTACCCCTTTTCTAGAAACAAGGGATTGACATCTTCCATTGTTCAGCTTCAATCTAATTTTCAATTTTGGTACTGGAGAATTAATTTTTCATATTTTGATAACTGTCAGGACCTACCAATATTCCTTAATAATTGATGTAGAACAAAGCCTATCCTGATACAAGCTAAATAAAAGCTGAAAAGTTTTTGTTCACTCAGGAACATTCTGAACACTAAAACAGCTCTCACTATGATTTTCTAGGGAAAATATTATTGGCACGCATTCTGGATCAGGTAATTTTATAAAATCAGTTACCGGAAATAGGGGAAATAATTTTAAGGCTGCACAACAACTAACACCACAAACCGATTCCTCTGTTCCACTTTCTTCCAAAGCCTTGGGAATAATATCAGAAATATGATCAGATAACTGCTTTAATTTGCCAAAAAAATTAGGATTCTCACTTTTTAAAACAATATTGTCTGCTAACATTTCAGTTCACCTTTTTGGTTGATTGAAAATAACACTGAAATGAAAAACAAGAACTGACAACAAAGCAGAACTGTCATTTTTCAGTTAGCTATACAAGAACTAAAAACAAAAAGTCTTTGAATGATCAAAGCCAGCCACATTCAAACACTTCAGTTTCAAGAAAGCACAATCAACTGCTGGGAGAATATGCATATCTAGGAGCTATTCAGTTTTACCTGTGTTTCACAAAAGAATCAAAAAGCAAACCTCCTGAAAACCCTAACTGTTAAATTTTAATTTTCATTAAGAAAAGACATAAGCACTATAAATCATGCAACTGAGTCACAGGTCATTTAAATAAGTTGGGCTTATTTTGAGAACAAATGAAAGGTAAAATAATACAGAATATTTGGTTCTATATGACTGCATTGTACTCTTCTAAAAATTAGGTACTAATCAGTATTTGTTGCGTATTTTTTCTTCACACTAAATGTTCTGCTACATTAATGGATAGAGTTAATAAAAAAATACTGTCATGAGAGAAAAACCTAAGTAGGTAAAAATAATTAAAAAACATGTAGCAATTATGCAGCAATGAGTCACACTAAAATAGAAATACTAGACACTTTAGTGAGTCAATCACACTGAACTTTGAAGCAATCAGCAGGAATTTGTGGATATTCAGGTCCTCTCAAGATAGCATTTTGTAGGAGATCTACAAAAGAACTGAAACCTTTAAAAGTAAGGAATAGGAATTTTGTTAAATATATTTCACTTGGTGACAAACTAAGTTCTGATCCAATGACAAGTTATTTTGTATGAGGTAGATGAGGGCTAAAAAAAAAAAAGTTAGCGCTTTATGCATACTGTGAAATACCAATTCTTTGTGTCACCTTTATCTACCCTCTCACTTTCTCTTTTTTGAAATAGATGGCCTATATTCACCCTACTGATTTCACTTTCTTCTGTGTACTTTTTAGAAGCCATGAGTTAAAAGAGTCAGACACATTTTGACTATAAATTGTAAACGAGAAACCCACAGTTAATAAAATAGCTAACTTGGATAAACCTATGTTTTCAGTTATATCTGAATGTTAAGACACATATTAAAGGAATTTATGAAAGTGTAATCACAGTAATGGTACTTCTATTTTATTATTGTGTTACAATCTATTTTTCAGTACTACCTAGTATTGATGAATTTATCTGTTCACCAAAATTTTTACGATCTATTCTAAAACACATTCATGTTTTCACCTAAACAAAGTCTTCGTCTTTTTCTAGCAAGATAAAGAAAGCAAGTTAAAAGAAAACTAATACTGGTCTGCATCTTTTCAAAATCATTACGATGGCTCCAATGTCATTGGCTTAATTACAAGAATGTAAAGAAGGAGATGTAAAGAAAATGCTCTGCATTCTATATCTAAGAAAACACATTTTTGTGATATGGGAGGAGTAGGAATACTATGAATTAAGAACAAGTTTTATGTATGTACCCACATTATAAAATGTTAATTTAAAAAGTGCAGAATTACATGCATATACAGAAACAAGATATATACATAAAATAAATATTTTACCATATCGGTTTTTACCTGGCTGAAAAATAGACAGGCTTCCATCAGTATGTCCAAATACCACTTTTCCTTTTTTCTTTGGATGCCATCTAAACAGACTGATATCTGACAAGAAACTATGTGCTTCTCTATGAACAGTTACCCCGCTGTCAGGTCCTGAGATAGTCCAAATGTACAACGGCCCTCTGTGGGACACAAATGCAACTGCATCACCTGCATTCCAACACCAGCTAAGTGATGAAGGAATTCCTGAAACATACAGGTAAACCTTATAAGAACCAGGATATGAAATTCAGTGCAGTATTCCCTAATGCAGAATCAGCACCTGTCTTGAAAAACTGTAGAAATAACTGTTCTACATGAAAATTACTAGACTGAAATTTAGACAATGGTGTGAACATCTCATGCTATAAAAGTAAATTACGCATTTCCATAGGTAGGAAGTAAAATTATTTCCCAAATTACTTTAATACTACTTCGATGGACTGTATTTTATGGTATCTGTACTTCATTAGTACCAAATAGAATCACACTTATGAAAGAGGATAAGCCTGATCCTGTAAACAATACTTTCATTCATTCAGAATCCCATTCACCACTATGTTTTACTGTAAGCTATTTACTACTAAGCTAGTAAAATATTGAGAAGTTCGAAAGGCCTATTTTTGCAAAACACAATGAAATTTAGAGATAAATATAACAGAGATGGATATTTGTGACAAAATTGGAAAGCTAGCTCTGTAATCTAAGAGAACTCTTGATAGCTTCCTTCTGGATATATGACAGTTTTAATTCAGTTGCAGGCCTTTCAGTTTAAGAATTTTGATCTTAACATCTCCAACTCTCATTATCCAAATAGCTTAATAATGTGTGCCTCAAGAAATAAATGATGGTATGAAAAACTCCTCAAGCTGAAAATATAAAACTGTGTTTAGACATTTTCATATGGCAATGTCAAAGAGAAGTAATAAGAACACTTCTTTCAAGTGTAGTCACTGGTTGACGTAGATTCTTAAACAAGCAATGTATTGAAAAATAAGTATCAGCTTTTATATTAATGCATAAAATGATACAATATTTCTTTTAGAATAGATGAAAACAGTGTTGGTTTTCCTTTTGCAGGATATGCAAGACGTACAAGGTTTTCAGAGGTATCCTAAAATGCTCAGGAGAGAATAGAGTAGGGAGTTCCAAAATGGTTTATTAGATCATGAGATTCTGACTGTTCTTGGGTTGCACTCATTTTCCAAGAGTGCAAATTTAAGAGTCAAGAAGACCTGATGAGATTGACCGTTAGAACAGAAATACAAGTCCTGGTTTTGACAAAAGAGAATAAATCAGAAGTGGGCAGAGAGAGGTTAACTGTAGACACAGATGTTTAACCCCCCAGACCTGTAACACAATCTCCAAATCAGTAGTTTCAAGTTCTGAGAAAAGATTCAGTAGCTTTAGGGTATTTAAACAAAAGCTGCTTTTCAAATTCACTGATAATTTGTACTTTAATCTGTTAAGACTACATTTTATTTGCTTTCACTTAAGTAAAGTTATGAAAACACACAAGTTTAAAAGTGTAATTATTTATCCTTTTATACAGATGAAAATACTAGGTTGTTTTTTCATCCTGCTCAACAAGAAATCACTAACAAAGTTAATTCTTGAATTGTTCGACTACCTTAGAAAAAAAGAATAACCTCTTTCTTTAACACTACAAGATGGTTCGCAGCAATTCATTCACACTGTCATTATTTTCTAAAATTGACTGCAATAAATCTGACTAGAATATTGTGTTGGGCAATTGTTAAACCTCTGGCCTAACAACTGCTTAGAGTTTACTCTAAGTATACTGTAGCAAGTATATCTCATACCCGTGGATTACAAAGCTGTATGGATCAAACAGATCTCCTTGTCTGAAATACCTTTTGTATTGTCCAGCTTGGCCACAACTTTCTGTTCATTCACATTCCAAATAATCACTAAACTATCTGCACTGGCACTTGCAAACACGTCAGGGTTGTGGGGACACCAAGATATGGCTGTGATTGTCTTCTTATGCTCAGACATAATTGCATGGAGCTTGAATTCATTGTATCGGTGATCCAGCTAAATAAATAATAAAATGCATTTTAGAAATACAATTTTTGTAAACTCACTTTAAGTACTATTGGGTTGGAGAATAGTTCATGTAACGGTATAACACATAACCCACAGATGAATTTATGGTGGATTTAAAAACTGTCAGTGCCTCGCATCTCAATAAATTAAATTCTCATATATTTGACAAAAAAGTTGTCAAATATTCAATTAGCTCAATCAGTGTTAACAGTCTATCCTCTCATCTCTTATAAACTATTAAATTTCATTAATAACTTTACTCAAACAATCCTAAAATGCTTTATATATATGCACAGTAACAACCATTTAGTAATCTCCAAATAGTTAAACAGCATAGAATATGAAAACAAGTTTGAAATCCCTCTCCTTTTTTAATCATAATCTTTTTCTAGTATAGTTAAAAATTAAAAAAAAAAAAATCACATGCCCAATATGACACAGGAAATTTTGCTTATTTTAATCCTACAAGCAGTATAACTCTTGAAGGTAAAGTGCATCCTTTATTTCCTTATATATTTCTCGATCTGAAAATTCTACATCACAGCATTTCTATTTTCAGTTAGGTGTTGATGGACAGTAACCACAAACTTCAGAAGACTGCAGTGCTGAGCAAATCAAATTTCCAAATCAAATAAAGGTGGGCAACAACTCTGGAATCCACAACTTTGAAGCAGTTTGATCCATTGTAAACAAGACTATTTTTATACTACAGCTTCAAATGAAACCACAGAATTTCTTCATTTCTCTCTTAGAACCCAGTCTTCTATCACTGCACTTGATTCATCTCAAGTGTCTGCTGGATTCTGAGCCTGTCTTTTAAAAATAATTCTTGACACACAGCTTTAAGGCTATCTTGAATGGAAGACTGAGCTTTACATAGACATCTTCTCAGCAGCTACCATACTTCCAAAATAATTGTAAAAATATTTATTGAAAGGGTTCAAAATGAGATCAACAACAATGTAAAAACATAACTAGTCTAATAAACAAGGATAATCTTACCTGATAAATATAAATAGCAAGGGTAGCACAGTAGGCAAATCTGTCCCCACTAGCAGCACATATATCCTTATTCCATGGCTGACATCCAGCAGCTAAAAGTCCCACTTGTTTAACCTGTGACATTTTTGCCTTTAAAACAGAAATTCATTAGACTACAAGATGACAGAACGTTAAAGAAGAGAATAATACCTTTTTGTTCCCATAATATCTACCTTAAAATTATAACTTGCCTGAGATAGAAATGAATGTATCCAAAATAAAGTCAAGCAGATGTTTAGAGGCTTCAGTGCTACAGAAGAAAAGGTGTTGAATACCATTCACAGGAATCCATTTGGAAGGAAAAAGGGAGGGGGGGGGAGGGGAAGCAACAAATTAAAACTTGTTCTTGACGTGTACCAGCTGAAACTGTTGATCATTCCCATTTTCTTTCCATACTTGCTATATTACAGTTTGATGCTCACTCTGTTCTCCCATTAATCTCCCACTGACAGCCAGACAAAGGAAACCTCATGCTAATAGTTTTAAGTAAAAGCAACATGTGCAAAAAGGTCTTCAAGCCACTTGTATAGAACAACTATGCAGTACATATTATCATCATATGGAAAGCCTTCCAAATTTTCTTAATAATTACTGTTTAACAAAAAAGTCGAAGTAAGCTGTGAAAAAACAAATGCAAAGCTTAGGGTAACATTACTGTATAGCAAACTGTGCCTTCAATGCCGAAAACAAATATCATACTATCATCTTGCTCAGAATAAGACGACTGATTTTAACATAAAAATGTAAGAAATACTTTGCTGGGCCAGACCAATTATCTACCCAGCTCACATTTGATTCATGATAATATCAACATGTTACTTAGTAACAGAATGTCTCATTTAGGGCCACATTTATGCTGTGGATAGATTAATGGACTGAGGGACATTATGTAGAAAAATATTATATGGAGGATGCCTTTAGGCCAAAGAGCTAAGACTGTAATCTTAAAAGACGTTATGTTTAATTTAACAAGTGTTAGATACATTTTCAAGCTCCACAAAGGAAAGGGAATTAAAAAGAAATGAGACTTGAAATGCAATCAAGTATTTTAAGAGAGCAACTGGTGAGTAAGTACAAGGGTTTATGCAATGCATTGCTGTATAACTGTTCAGGGTAGATATGTTGCTGTAGATCGCTCTTGGTCTACTTGATATTAAGCGTATAGAGGGGGAAATTTTTTTCTGGATGACATTAGTACTAAGACACATACAGAAAAGCTTTGTACAGCTGTGGTAATAGTGATCATAGTACTCAAAGTTCCTTCCCAAAGGAACTTATTGCTTAATATCGACAAAAAGCTTAGGACATAAATATTAACAAAATTTCATTTTAATGTGTATATAAAATGAAGGTGAATGATTAATTTTATTTTTAATTTTTCTTATCTGCTTGGGGTATCTGCTTGGCAGAAAAACAGCAATGAATAGGCAGCAAACTCCATGAGATTATATCTCTCTCACTTTAGAAAGTGTGAAAGACAAAAAAATAAATTGAAACAGACTTATTTTCTGTGCTGCTAATTTAGCAGAAGATCAGGATCAGGTTAAATGTTTAGGACTGATCTTCTCAAAGATATCACTGTCTCTAGTTCTAGGTCCTGACTGAGTACTAAATGCCTGAAGGAAATCAAACACTCATATCTAACCTCTGCAAATTTTGGCAAAAGAGACTGTGCAACAGCAGAACAGAAATATACAGAAAAACAAGTTACAAGATACAGCTTTGCTACAGACTAATGCTTTGGCTATTAGACTGCCTTTCTGTCTGTTAATATTACTAATTCTTCTAACTTCTCCAGCCAATAAATGAGAGATTCTAGAGAGAATATCTCCATAAATTGCATCACCTTGCAGTTCCTTTGCAATCCATCTCATGTTATAAATTATATGAATCCCACAGAAAGAAATTATCTAATTATTTAAAGAATCACCATCATCACCACAAAGTGACAAAAATAGCCTCCAAATTTCTAATTTTGCCATTTAGTGTTCTTTTACTGTTCAGTAAAATTACAAGTTCCAAAGGTCCCTTCTGTGCACTTAAAGTATTAATAACATATATACAGAAATAATTAGATTTGGGCCATTCAGAACACGGACTTTTTCCAGTCTCCATGAAAAAATAATTGGCACCATTAACCACCATTTCTTCTTAAATAACAGTCACCCGGTTGATTACATAAGTATTTTACAAAAGCAAAGAATACCTGGAACCAGAACTCTTAGTTTCTGCTCTTGATTCCAGGGAAAAATGCGGTTAAAACACTACGTGTGTTGGTAAACTGATATAGGACATCAAAAAAAGCTGTGGTTAAGTAGAAGAGAATTAGGTGTAAAATATTAGAGTATCATAGGTTAAGTTTCCAGGTTTACCACCTGCAAATCATCAATGTAAGATTGGTTAAAAGTTAAAATCTATTTAGATCCTAAGAGTGAACAACTATTTATTTCATAATAATAACAGATTTGTCTCATTTTGTACAGATACTCTTTTACCTTCTCATATAGGAGCTGATCTGATGAATCTGTAAGAAAATATAACCTTAACTCTTTTTTACTTTGCAGTTTGACTACAGGGAAAATTGATTGTAAAGCTAAAATCTCTTACAGATGTTAAAACAGAATTCAACAAATGTTTATTTCAGAGTAACAACAGATTTGTCTTATAGGATTCTGTAGTAATCAGTATCTAAAAAATCCTGTTAATAGATGAAATTTTTGAATTTTAGATGAAAAATGGTGCTCCGTACAATATCACTGAGTTAAGAATTCATGCTTAATAAGTGTTTTTAAAATTTGATTTTTCAACTACATTTTTCCTATTAAGGTATATATAAAAAAGTTACATACATAAAATAATTTGAGATGCATTCCAGAAAGGAATTTCAGTCTATTTACTAATATTTGTTGTTTTAAACTTGTTATTATTTCCTGCTCCTTGTAATGAGCTATATACCATTTTATAAAGGGAAGAATTTGCTTTGAAATTCAGTACAATGGTATCTAGAAGAAATTACAGTTGTGTGACATAATAACTAACTCTCCTGTAAGTATCATGCATTAAAGCAGTTTCCTGGAGATCTTTTCACACATTATAGATTTCTGTTCAGCATACTTATAGTATAGGGGAGAAAGCAGCATTCATCAGAACAGGGCAGCATAACTGAATATATTTAGGTATGATTTCACACATGGTGTATTTTTATACATTTTTCATACTTTGTAAAAAAACATTTTATATTGAAATAAGAGATGTACAAGTATTATACTGAACTCTAAGTATACACTGAAAAAAGCCCTGTGCATGTAGAAAATGTATACCACACTGGGAAAGCTAGCAGAGGATGCCCACAGTTTCCAAGGAGATGAAATAAAGAGGGAGGACAACAAAAACCTTTCTTTTCAATTGGCAGAAGCAGGAACACTCTAAGCTCTCTCCTGTCGCTAAATATAGAAAAGAAAAAGCAACCAACCACATTAAACTTAAATTTTGTACATCATAAATATTATTTAAAAATAACAACTGAATGGACTATATATATAGCCATAGCTTTATATCAGTAGCTTAAAGATAAATGCCTAATAAACCCTACCTTAGCATAGGTGTCATTTTTTGTAAACCTCTTTAGCATTTCCATTTTCATTCCAATACCTTGCTGCTCCCAAAAATGGAAAATATTTTTCTGGTCGTAGAATGAAATCACTCTACTTGACAGATGAAGGAACTAAACCTTGATGTTCACAGAATAATGCAGTTAATACAGGATGCAGGAGAAAAGACTGAGCATTGTGTCACACCACACACAAAACGGCAGTGTCAGTAGCCTGGCAACTGCAGCTCTTTAAAAGGCATCATTTTAATTTTAACCTAACTTCTTCTTCTCTGCTTCAGCTACTCAGTGTATTTCATTGCTTGTTGTATTTTCCAACTGTACTACAATGACACTTGTAGAATAATAATAGCTCTTTAAACCCATCACTTAACACTCTTCCATTATCAATACATGTGCTTGCACGTTTTAAGCATCCCTAATTTCATAACCATCAAGCACAACCAATAACTGATGCTCACATATGCTTTGACTGTGGTTCATGTGGTGTATGACCTGTCCAAATGAGTCCACATGCAGTATGGCACGCATACAAATGTGGATATACAGTAGCCTTATATTAATGAATATGCTTCTGTGTATACAAAACCCCAGTTTCTTTACTGCTATATACAGTGAACTGCCAGTGTCCTCTGCTTCTGTTCATTCTACTGTCACTATCTTTCCATGATACCTTTTCTTATGTGGAAAGCACGCTGTCACTCCTGTATGTTTGACTCCTGTATGTTTGACACATAAAACTGTTACATCTTATCCAGACTACTGTCTGCAGGTACCAATATTTTTGTCAGCATGTCAATAATAATGTAATAATCAAAAAGATCTTTAGTGATATCAAAGTGATGTCTCCCTAAAGACATTGGGTATATTTACCCATCTTTGAGGGAAAATCCACTGGAGATGAAAATGTGACCTAGGAATTACAGAGTTTCAAATTCATTACCATATCCAATGGGACCAGTTTGAAGTATAGATCATTTTAGCTTGCTAAAAGCATGAAGTTCTTCAAGGCTAACAAGAAATCTTGGCATGTCTGCAAGACACAGCAGTAAACAACTTCTGCCTGACAATGCCAGCCTCAATAGCACTGATTCTGATGTAATAAGATAATAATTCATTAATAACATATTAATAATTAAACATAATTAATTCTTCCACCAAGCACATTATAGCCCTGTTAAGAAATAAAATTCTCATTAATTTGTCCAGACTCGTGAAATAATGGAGAATTGGAAATACTCCAGTATATATGCAGCTTAAAAGCCAATAGAAAACTTACACCATGAAATCTTTGATGAAAAAAATTTCTTCCTACTTTGGAGCACTGCAAAATCCTAAGAAATTTTCAGTTCTTAATGTAAGCTACCAAACTGTACTTACTAGTGTAGGTCTGTACATAGTCTGCCTGAGAAGATACACATTACTTCAAGAAACTGCTTCTGGGAAAAAGATGAGCTAAGTCTGACCATATTAATAATGACAGTCACATAGTAGAACAATGTAGAATAATTATACAGGTTTACACATGTACTGCTCGACACAGAAGTGCAGCCTGTCATACTTTCCAGCAGAATTCAACTAAGGTAGTTTACTACTTGCTAAAGCAACTGGTTGGCTGCTAGTTTACTACTAAGCAGTATAGACAGTTTGTACCCTTCTCTGCATAAACTGTTAAAGTTCTTTCTGCTTTTGTATACAATCATGGTACACAGGCCATCTGCAGCTCCCAGAGAATCAGAAGATTAACCAGAGGCAGGAGGAGGGTGCCTTGGACAAGGTTTGAACTTCTAGATTCTTCAAAAACACCAGAAGCCTTGGCTAGACTCTTGCAACCAGAATTTACAGATGACATTTCCTAGCCTATGGTAACCCAGCAAGTGTTCAAATGTGTGCATTCATTTATCCAGACAATGACTGGGAAAAGAATACTTTGATTTAAAAGATCATTTTAAATGAACAAGTGTTCTACTAGTGTTCACATTGTAAACCTCCACAGTAAACTTGGACCCCAATCACTACCAGAATTTCTTTAACCGCAGAATCTCTGGCTTTACAAGGAAAGAAGTTGTGGACCTTTCTCTGAAATTTGGAACTTGAAATCAGAGTCCGAGACTGTATTTTACAGAAACAAACACCTGAAATAAAACCCAAATACATTAATCCAAGATAGATATCCTGCTTAGAAAATCTAAGGTAAACAACATTAAAAAAACAGTAACTTGGTTATGCCTTAGAGAGGAGTGGTTTTGACTGTCTTGACTACACTACTTGTACATTTAATTAGAATATTCTTTACTGTGCAACTTTAACAATATAATCTAAAGAGCAATACTGGGGTTTGAAATAAAGCATGCAGAAATTCTGACGGTTCTAATAATACATCATCAGCAATGCTAAACTACACATCTAATCAATACAAACCACATCTAGCATCATCTATAGAGTACTGGTTAATCACACGCTACCAGAAATCTAGTTTGCAGATACTGTGAGTAATACAAAGAGATGTATACAAACATGTCTGATCTCAGTATGAAGCATCTAAGAGTCTCCATAAGATTTTGTTCTCATCATCCAATCTGGAACTACTAAAATCACCAGATTGCTTTTCTGTATGCGAATTGCCACGGCAGTTCTGATTTCAGATGAAGTTACCTCTTGACACATCTCACACCTGAATCCCTGATGACAGCTATTAAAAGGTAACTCCACAACAGAAACATTCATATCATGAGTGACATGTAAAAAGAGAACAGTGAAACAGTATTAAAATCTGCCGGTTTTTTGTGCTTACGAGCATGTAACTGGCATTATCAAGTAATACACAATACAATGAAAGCAACTGATTATGTTTCAGTAGCATCTCCTTCATTCCAATTCATTAGCTAACAATACAGTATGAAAACAAGAAAAAGAAATCACAGAAATAATGTTTCCATAAAGGAGTTTAACACGGTGAAATATATGAGACTTATATTCACTTCCTACCATTAATCTATGAAAGCAGTTGCAGACTAAGCTTGCCTAAGGCATGCGGTTAATAAACATTAAAAAAAAAAAAATCTAAGATATCCTGTAAATGTTGCTATAGTAACAACTCCTCCTCCTCAGAAACATGTTAATAAAAATGTACAGCTACCCAAGGTACAACTTGGAAATGACCCTAGACACATTTAATGTCTCCCAAATATTTTTGTTTTACTGAATTACTGCTTATAACTATTTCAGTTTACTCCATGCATGCTATATTAATTCCTTTAATACAATAAAATTAAATGTTTCATTTCCATCTCATTACATGTTAAAGAATTACTCATTAAATTATGCAACCTAAAAAATGCAAGTAGGTGGCCATCAAACTTCCAGTACCTTTTATCCAGCTAGTAATACTAATTTTCAAAAATCTCATTTTGGATGTGTTTTACCCAGGATTCAAGACCTCATTAAAACAATTAAAAATCCCTTGCTAGTACAACTATGGAAATATTATTTTTTATACTATCAATATAATAAACAGTAGCTTAAAGAAGAAAAATTTAAAAGCAGCAAAAGAGAAAATTTTCATTTAAACAATTCTTACTCGTTGTTGTCCTTCATACCAATCATCTTCATCAAACCAGTGGGAAATATAAGTCATCCAAGCCATGAGAGAAGGCACAGTTGAAATAAAAAATACAGAACCTGAATACATATAAGTCCAATATATCCTGTGCTAAAATTTACTCAACACTACAAGCTACAAAGATCAAACTTGAACTCTGATATGACTTTACATTAATGAGCTTTAAATTCATAAATCTGAAATACTTTTAGCAGCAATTTAAATCCTCTGTCTTGAATTTTCTATTGGAAAACAGAAATCAATAATAAAACAATAAATAGATTATATATTCCAGTATTTTAAATTAAAGCAGACTACTGCTTCAAGCTCAATTTTGCTGTGCTTCTGAGCTCTGAAAATGAGGTGCTGTTTGAGTCATTCTTATCTGTCTCCTAAAAATTACTTTCTTTTTTATTTCTAATGAAATGTCTGTATGAAATGTTCAGTGCATAAAAGCTTGTACTGAAATGTAAAATATCTTCAGAATCATGGGGAGTGATTTGTTTTGGATATAGAGGGAGTGGTTTCAATTGGCACAGTAGGAGGGGTCAAAATTATCACAAATGCCAAACATCAGTTTAACATTTTTTTTTAAAAGGGGATAAAAAAAAAAGGAAAAAAAGATCTGCAGCTCCATTGTTCGCAGTCAGTAGAGCCTGAAATGCTCTGCTACAGCCACCAGCACTCGCTGGGAAATGTAAAAAGCCCAATTTACCTAATTTATCAAAACGGATCTGTTTCTTTTTTTCTCTCTCAGAAGAGTTCCACATATCTGATGGCATTTATTCCTTCTGCAGGTAGTATCCTTTTCTGGTATACTCCCAAGTTTCATATTAAATTTCACAGTGCATTATAGCAATGAAAACAAAAGGTAAAAAGAGGAATAAAAGCTGTACTGCTCACACCACATTTCGGTACTGCAGCAGCACACTTCATCAGCTGTGCTGCTTAGGAGACATTTTCATACAAATCTTTCTGACTGCATGGTTACAGCAACTACGAGATTCCCGGTACAGATTATGAAGACCTAAAAACCCAGTTTCTTAAGCAACCCAGAATCCAGACAACCTATGCCTTTCTGTACCGGATTAACAAGCCGATTCCCAAGATCTATAATATAAAAAATGCAAAAAACTGCAAAGTCAGTTGTTTAGTCAAAAACTAAACAAAGCAAGCTAGAAAAAGAACAGCTGAAAGTACCAACTATTAACCTGATGTTAGCGGTGAACATTACTTACCATTTCCACAGAGTAACTTAGTGTCATCACCTGTCGTACCCCAGCACATGTAGTTTCCATTAAGGGTATTGTATAAGCAAGCTACCTTTCCACATACACAGCAGGGGAACACAGAAAAGCAGCAATACAATTGGTGTCCAAACTCTTTCTCAGAAATTATGACATCCCAGGAAAAAAAAAAAAAAACAAAACACCAAAAATACAAACCACACACACAAAACAATAAATATTTAAATCAAGACACTCACTATATTTATGGGAAGTAGCATTTCAAGACCAGCAGATTTTTTTTGTGCCCATACAGTCCTCCAGATAAATGGATACAGACACAAGAACATAGAGAGGGAACTTCTCACTGTATTGCTGAAATTTTTCAAATAACTTGCCCTTTGAGATTTTGGCTCAAACAAACTGTGTGAAGTGTACATAACTGCACGGTCTGATAAACTGTATGAGAAACATAGGATTAATTCAGTCAACTCTAATCACACTACTGAAAAAATCCCCAACCACATCCAAGTTCTATGACTAAATGATAAAAATATGACTGATGTGCCACTCCTATGTATAAAAATTTTACAAATTGCTAGACAAAACATATTCACGTTATTTCTGCTTGCTACACACCAAAATCGTGGTTTCCAGTAAATTAATACTAGCACATTCAGGAAAGTCTTTGCTTTCAGGCTGATCCGTCTTTTCATAAGGGCACATAGCATCATTAAGAATCTTGATCAAAGAATTTAAAATAGTTCAACAGTAAGAAACTTGTTTCTCTTTTATGCCTTCAGCTGTTCCACCACCTATATGAAATGAGTTTTCTAGTGTCTATACCAACCTGTCAGAACAATGAGTCTCTCAA